GCCTCTCTGTTATTGTGTGTTGTGTCTTCTGGGTTCACTTTGCCACTACAAAACGCTTTTAGCATTTGCAATAAGGGAAAGAGACATTGTAAACCCCTCTCTCATCCAACTTTATTTTAGGAGATGCCAACACTAGCATCGTAGGGCAATGAAAGGAAATCCTAATCCTAATGTCATCTTTCAGGAGGAAATGACTTTGCTCACGATTATGCAAGGTCACTGCTATGACTGACAGGTGTGATGGATGGCTAGTGATGTTCACTTGCCTATTTTATGCATCGAGGCGGAAACGCTTGCCTCCGCCTTAGTGCAGGTAGATGACCACTGGAATGCATTTTTTACTGTCTTGGATAAGCCGTCAGACTCTGAGATGCGGAAGTACCCGTAACTTACTTAAATGTCCCAGCAAAACCACTGCTAGATTTGAAAATAAGTTAGACAAATGCATTTGGCTCTTATTTTTGGGGGCGAAATTACCTTCCGATTGCGTTGAAGGTTTGAGCCAGCGCTTTGCATTTCCTCGCTTGGTTAATTAAATGCCAAGGAGAGCATTTCCAGTTGCCGTGACCGAACTTGTTTACGCTGCAACAGAGGGTATGAACTGGCTAAAAGTTGAAAATAGCATCATATAGGACCTCTGGAAAGGGAGGGTTATAAAATTTTAAAAAAAATTTACAAAATTTTCCAATTATAGGCTCTTTTATGGCCTGGTGGATGTTTTTGCTTGTTATCTGAGCACATGAGATAAAAATGATAATTTTGCAGGACCTTTGAGTTTCTACACTGCCTCGTGTTTTTTTTTCCTGCTCCATTTTCCTCTTTTCGATTTAACTTGCTCTCCCATTCCTCTTGAGGCAGCACGTGTGCACTTTGCGTGCGTGCGTGCGTGCGTATGCGTGCTTATGGACGACGCACCACTTCCCCGAAGGCAGCCCCAAAGTCTGTGCGTGCGTGCGTGCGTGCGCGCGCGCGCGCGCCAACAAGGAAGATGATTAATTATGTAAACCAGAATGTAAAAATGCTACGCACAGCACGCACAAACACCCTCCAACAATTTCTCTAAGTGTATGTGGGTTTGCTAATGAATGCCTAGTAGTGTCAGCGCTGAAGCTGGATGGAAATTCTGCTTAAAGGGTTCACATTCATCACTTCACCCAGCTATAGCACACATCATCCCTCGTCGCCCTTCGCCACCGTCTGCTGTATTAGAGGCCATATCGAAGTAGGACAGTGAACACATCTGACTTGCCAGCTTTTCTTGACCCACCAGTAACGACGACGACCTTACTGGTTTCTGAAAAGTTCTCTCACTTTCCAGTTCAACCCATCTGGTCTCCGTGATCTTACCTTACGTTTCTGTTGGTCAAATTTTGTCACACGCCAGACAGTACCAGTAGGATTCAAAAGACCCGTCAAAATGAACCTAATTCCTCCAGCCTCTCCGCACAAGTTTTAGGCTAATAAATGTTAATTTATATTCTCTGATGTGATAGCCAATACTACTTTCCAAAATATTGATTTGCATTAATTCCAACAATGTCCACAAATGGATGCAGTGGTTCACCTCCAAATCATGATTGGCAACTATGATAGGTTACAATATAGCATTCTAAGGCTGCTCTGTAAACAAAATACGACATGGTACCTTGGGCAGAATATGTGTTGCCAACATATAGAAGGGCTTGGGGTGGGGACTGTTGTCGGTAGCACAAAGACACTGAACCTTAGGTGCCTGCGTCAACAAAACGAGGAGCTAAACAGCCAACCGTCTACCATACTCTTTCATCTTATGTTATGCTTTGCTGTTGATGGTTTTTATAAGTTCATCTTCAAGCCTACGAATGATGGGTTTTAGTGGAGGTCCTGCAGCGCGGATTTTGCACTTCATGCATACGTAAATTGGTCATGAAACTGTGATTAGGACTGCAAACATCATCATGTCCGTAAATAACACAAAGCATCATTAAGTCTATCATTGCGCATCACTTTTCTCGCTTTACTTAATGGCCAAATTAGATCCATTTATCCGCCGATGAGGCGCTAAATCGTCCATAAAGACTCATGGAACACCGAAAAAGTTGCGTTTTATTAGGAACTAGTCGCCATTCTTAGGACACGAAAGAGAACACTTTCCAGGGCACCTTAAAAAAAAAAAGACTAACTTAGAGATTTATAACCCATAATAATAAAGTGTCTAGGGTGACTTGAACTCTTGGAATTACGAATGGAGGTGGTAGACTGATGATTGTGGAAAAGGACGCTACGTTGGACGTCACTTTTGCTGTTTGACGTTTCTAGCTTCTCAGGAGATGATTTTATTTACATTCTACTCCTCGACTGTTTGCATAGGTGGAAATGTTTGCCGAGTAAGGTGTTATCGAAATGGTAGACAGGTGGAAAATTCTGTCACCGCGCATAACTTTGATCCAATTGGAGTTTTGTCGGCACTCCCGCCTTAACGCACACTGTGAAGCCGTGGCGATGGTGCTGACAAGACAGGACAGGGCGCATTGCACTCGATTCATGCTTTTGTTGAATCATTTGCCTTGTTTATACTACTTATGAACGGGTGCTTACAAGTGCCAATACTGTGTCGTCCATTGTGTTGTGTTTCACTGATTTCCCAACTGTCATAGAGGGGATGATTTATCTTACCTCGCGTGCATTGCTTACAGAAATTAAAAAATTCGAGGTAAATGCATTTGTTTGATGAACTGGCTTTTAATCATTTTGTGCCTCCAAACTCCACTGGTAGCTTTACATCCACCTGATGCTCTTAAAAGCATGCCTTCACGCGTACAACAAACTCATGCCATTGTGAGGAGATCGAGATTTGCATTGTAAAGTGCACAGGATGGAGGGACGAGAAATTTCGGTAAATATGACATTGAAGGTCCAACAATTACTCTTTTTTCAGGTGAATTGAGTACGTACCCTCCACCAACACACACAACTTCGCATTCAATGAGCAGAGGTGTCAACGACAGCGAGTTTTGGCGAAGTGGGCAAACTACCTCCTTGAAGCCCGATCCCTCTTCAACATCCACAACAACTACAACACCATCTTCGTCGTCGTCGTCTTCGCTCTACGCCGCGGTGATGGCAGCTGCAGTGGCCTCCTGGAGTGGTCAGTCGGCGTCCACCGCGACTCCCGCCAGCAGCACTCTTGCCACCGGTGTTCCAACCTCTCGCAACGATCCCTACAGCAAGATTAATGCCAGTTCCTGCTGTGGAGACGTCGGGACCAAGAGAGCGAAGCCTCTTGATACTGCCAAAACTCCCTACTCGCCCAGGTGTGTCCTAGAGTTTTGGTAGTTGCCTCTTGGAGACACCGTGTTAAATGCTTCGGAGCTATCCTCTGAATGACGTTTAAAAAGGCCCCCCGAAGGTGGTTTCAGGAACCCTTCTTGACTGTGTTTGTTTGTATATCCGTTTTACAAAGCTAAAAATACGCAATTCCATTACTTTTGCTCGCACATGTGCTATGGTTTATTCATAATTTTAGCCAATCTAACGTTTTACTTTTATTTCTTATTTATTGAGAATGTTTATTTCTTGTAGGAAAGTTTTTAAACAGTCTCGTTTTTCCCTCCTCCTCCTCCCCCTCCTCCTTCTCCTCCTCCTCGTCCTCCTCCTTCTCCCCTTAGCTCGGTGGTAGTCGAGACTGAAATAGGGGTAGTGGCACGGAAAGCACAACTCCACTGGTCCATTTCCTCTTACTCCTCCTCTTCCTCCTACAACGTTTTTAAGGAGTTCTTAATTACAGCTCTCTTTGTTGTTGCTGTGTACCTCGAATGTTAAATGTATGCGTGTGTGCGTACATTTAAACCGTTGATGGACACATGCACTGTCAATGGAATGTGTCCTGATCTGTGCATTTTCGGTTTTTAGGGTGATATTTTTTTTGTCCACTCTGTTATCTGAGCTGTTGGAGGGAAGAGAAAGGCCGTTCGTGTACTTAGTCTGTGTTTTGACAGCTAAGAGACTTCAAACTCTGCCGTATGCATGCATGAATTGAAGGTGATGATAAAGATGTGCCTAATCACAGGTCCTCATGAAGCATAACGTGCTTTTTTT